GGGCCTCCAATCTGAAGGCACCATTCTTGTGGCGCCATGCTGGCCTGGAGCCAATTGAGCAGTTCTTGAAATCTGAACGTGCTTGTGGTCGCTTCCGGCCCGCTTTCAAGATGGACTTCTAAATATTTAGAACCAAGTCAAGGGCTGGATATATATATAACCATCTGGTTGGTAATGGGTGGTGATATGTGGTGATTAAAAGTTCAAAGATATTTTTTCTAATTCCAGGGATTCAGCCCAAAATCTTAATTCGTAATTCGGAAAGGTATAAATTTATACCGGACTCCAGAGTTTCAAACAAATCCCACTCCAAACCCAGAGCGTGAAAAGTGCGTGAAACGACCGTGAAAAACCCGTGAAAAGACCGTGAAAAACCCGTGAAAACCAATCAAAAACTTGAGCATGGAAACCACATAATTTTATTCAGAATTTTGAGGATTTTATTTAGGCTCAGGGGAAAGGTCACCCTTTTTTGACCTTTAGTATGGCCAAATCGGCCATAGAGAAAGCCAAAGAAAGGGCACTTGCTGCGAAGAATGCGGATTCCAAACCAGCCACACTTGCTTTGTCAGATTCCCAGCCCATAATTAAGTATATATTAGTTAGTGGAAAGATTTTTACATAGTATATACTAAGGCCAGATGCACCAGGAGGCACGACTATGATATTTTTAGATTATAAACCTCACAAATGATATATATATAATTATATAATTATATGATCTGATTCAATTGATTATATATATATATCATTTGTGAGTACTAATCCACCTGATTGGTTCCAGCATTTACTTCCTGACCCTGGGAGGCTCATGCAAAGACCTCGACGAGGAAGCTGCAAAAGCGACTCCGCCTTTGCGGTTGAGGCGGAAATCTAAGTCTACGGAGAAGGTGGACAGCCAAGAGACTTTGAGAATGGGTTCAGCAGAAACTTTGAAACATGGGGGCAGCGTGGATTCACTTCCAACAGATCCCTGTATCAAACGTTCAACAACCGTGGAACAAAATGAACCGCCCCAGAGCTCCAGAAAGAACAAGGAGAAAGTTCGACCAGGGTCATCAACTGACAAGCCAAAGAAATCATCTCCTGCTACTTCAATTGCTGCTGAAGTTGAAGAGCCACCCCGGAAACGTTTGAGAAAAGCAGCTCCACTTGAGTCCCCAGTGAATGTCAAGGCTTTATCTGCAGAAGCGCCCACACCAGCTGAGTGCACCACTGATGACAAGCCCAAGAGGTCGTCCAAGACTTTGCCAGTGCCTCTCAGGTCACAAACGAAAGCGAAAGCGAAACCCATGCCCAAGAGTAGGAAGTCACCAAAAAAGAAAGCATCTCCCAAAAAAAGAGATGTCCCCACGGAGAAAGCTGCACCCAAGAAGAAGCCGAAAGCTTCACCCAAGAAGAAGCAGAAAGCTTCACCCAAGCAGCCCGAAGCTGAAGAAGTACCGGATGAACAGGAAGAGGAAGAAGATCTAGAAGTACCGGATGAACAGGAAGAAAAGGATCAAGATCCTAATGACAAGAAGAAGCAGTATGCTCATCGCTTGTACATGCGCTACTGGCGGAACTTGCGAAGTCCGGGTCTCAAAATTTGCAAGCCATTTTTTCATCATGTGTTGTCAACTTATTATATCAAACGTTTTGATGATTTGATGAGCTGTTTGATCAACTGTTTCCCAGGCCGGAAAACCCCGAACGAGATCAAGGACTTAGCGAAGAGGTTCAAATACTGCTGGATACTTAGATGTTTGAACTAGCCACGCATTGAACTGCAGTGCCATGAAGTTGGATTCATTATAATTAATGATCCAATTTCATAATGAATCCAACTTCATGGCATTAATTTTGTTTACACTGTGTTTTGAGGCCAAGCCCAACAACAAACGCTGTACGAGGACTTTCTGAAAACCAATGGACAATGGAAACGTGGCTTAGTGTGGAAGGAGGTGATCAACAAACACCGTGGCACTACACGTGGTGTCAGAAAGTGGTTGACAAAAACACAGCTTGTAGCTCACTTTGAGAGCGAAAAAGTTGCTGAAGCTGTGGTTCAGCGCAAACGCGACACACCTGGTCTCCAGGCAGAGATTCGAGATCATCCTGAGCTCCCTGGTCCCTATCTCAGATTTCATTGCATGATCCAGCACATTCAAAAGTCGATTTCAAGATTGATTTTTTCATATATGTCAGTTCAGATTTCAAGATCAGATTATATTTGTACATGTTCTGCCAGGACTGGAGCAATTTTTGGTGCTCACGGAGGACGAAGAGGTGCAGGAGGAGGAAAATCTGAGCTGCATCGAGTGCCTCCGATGACTCTGAAAGCAGTTCAACCCCAAAGAAGAAGAAGAAGGTCAAAGGTAAAGGGAGCAAAGGTGGAAAGAAAAAAGGAAAAAATCAAAAGAAAAGCAAGAAGAATAAGAAGAAAAATAAGAAGAAGAAGTCGTCGTCTGAGAGTGATGACCCAGAGAAAAAGCAACTTGCCGAAGCTGAGAAGGCCACTAGAAAGGCTAGGACAGTGATGTGTTTAATTTGAACCATGTCCACATCATGATTTCAACATTCCAGAATTTCTGTGTTTCAAATTGATTGCAACGATACTTGAAGGCAGTCGGGGATATTACCAAGAAAATCAAAGCTTGCAATGTGGAGAAGACCAATGCTGCCAATCTGTTCGGCACTCAATCTCTTCATTGTTTTTTAGTACCAACATTTTCTGGGCTTTGCTATAATTAGGTCAACCAACATCCGAAAAGCTGTCGAGAAGGACATCAACACGGCTCTTACCGGCCTGCTTGAAGCTCGCGCTGCTGCACAGGAAGCCCTGGAGTCAGGTTCAAAGGACAGGTCGATAGATTTTTTTGATTGCAATATTACATTCAAATGATGAATTCGTTTGGCACAACAATTTTTAAGATTACAATCAGATGCAGTACTGTCAGGATGTCACTCAAATGGAGAAGGCAGTCAGCAAGAGCAAGGATGCATTGGCCGAAAGTGACAAAGTGATGTTTAGGAAAAAGACTTCAAAGAAGTCCGACAAAGCAGATTCCAAGGATGATGACTAGCGACTAGATCTATAAGCTAGATGAAGCTATAGGTACGGGTCATGGGAGATGATATGATCCTGATATATCTCGATACTATTTATTAATCTCGATTAATTCCACAAAGATATATTATATTAAATGTAATTTCCAAACTATTTTTTGATTTCAGACCGACCCACAACCCATGGATGTTGGGGAGCAAGCCCAGCCAGAACCTTAGACTTCGGATCTGGATTTGAGCTTCAATTTTGAAAGATCGATCATGCGCTTCAGGGACCACAAAAAGGGATTGCGTTGCAATTGGTAGTTGCTGAATCGTTTTGCTTGAATGAGCCCACCATATAGCCCACCCATTCAAATCAGGGAATCACTTGAACCACGCAGGTGAATCAAATCCTGATCGACAACACCAGATCGCTTCTGTACTTGATTCTGTAGCATCAGGGGTGCGGTGCTTAATTACTTACATGTGTTCGAAACCCAGCATATATGTCAATTAATAATTGTTTCCCTGGTGTGGCCCGGACAGGCCTCCATCGAAGAGAAAATGAAGGAGCTCAACGCCTGTGTCCAAGACACTTGGATTTCACCATTCTGGAGTTCTGCAACAGCTCAATCAAATTCTGGTAATAAACTGGTATCTAGTTGGTTTTGAGATTTGTATCAGATTGTCATTGACTGGTGGTTTGGGTTGGTGGTTTAGATTGTCAATGATTGTCATTATAGCCCCCTATGACAAGGGATAAATATCATAGCAAAGAGTATATATATATACCCATAATCCCAAACCGCTAACCCAAGCCACCAATTAATGATATGAATTCATCTCATTGGGGACATTTCTCAGGACACTCCATGTGGGCTACCTGCGGAGATCCACAAGCTTGGCAGCTTTAGCAAGTTCAACCGTGCTCGAGATTTTAGACGATCTTTGGGGATTCCAGTGGACCGGGTGTCCAAAATCAAAACCATTCTGGGTCCATGGTTTTGAAACTGTTTCATACCAAATAATCGATTTCAATCGGTTTGTGTACTACTACATTGGTTTTGATTAGTTGAAATTGTTCCAGACCAAACAATTGGTTTATCAACATTAACTATTTTAAGTTCCTTGGTGAGGAGCCTATTCAGGTGGAAACCATTGTGAAAGAAAATCTTTCTGGAGATGATTACACTACCAAGCCCACAAAGCTTCCGGTGTTCCTTCCTGAACATTTGCTAAGCTATCTCTTTGGGAATCTTTGCATGGAGATTGGGGATGATGCGGTGGAAAAATATTGGAGCCATGCCAAAATACACAACTGCCCGTGGAAAGATATATCCCCAGGATATCATTGCCCACTGGGTTTGTATGGGGATGGTGCAAAGTATGCCCCAACTGGTGAGAAGATCATCGCATTTTTTCTCAACATAGTTCTTTGGGCACCAAAATCAAGTCGGATGTCGCGGTGGCTCCTCTTCAGCGTGGAGAATGACCAAAGCCTTGGCCCAGCAACTTTGAACCCACTACTGGCCCCAATCGTGCAGTCTCTTTGCAAGTGCTTTAATGGACTTCCTATCTTGGGGAGAAAAATGCATTTTGCAGTGTCTGAATTACGGGGCGATTGGGAATGGATGGTGGCACTGTTTGATTTACAACGATCTTGGCGAACCAGTACATTTTGCTGGCGGTGTGATGTCAGTAAAAGACCTGGTGATGATTTATCTTTCTGGGATTTGTCCGATGTTCCAGAATGGGAACGAACACAGTTGTCACATGTGGAATTTCTTGCGAAGATGATACTCCCTGCAACTGCCAGACCCTTAGATAGAAACATGTTATTTTTGTTTATTTTTGGGAAATTTACATGTTGAAATATATATATATATAATTCAACATGTAAATTATATATTTCAAGTTGGGATGATCATCATACAGATTAAATTTATCCTGGTACCGGGGGCTTAGCCAAGGTCCCCTTTTGCTATTGCCGAATTTTGATTACCGGATCCTGCGGCACTGCAGCCTGCACAACTTGAATCTTGGCATCATGAGCACTGCCAATGGGGGATCTTTGCTACTTGGTGCAAAAATCATTCCCACCATGTTCCCACCAGAGTCTTCTGGATGTTTGAGCGAAATCTGTCAAATAATTAATAAGATAAACATCTTTCAAAGAAATCCGTGAACATTCTCACATCCCAGGTTGCTATTGGCAGACCTTGGCTACTTTGGTTGCCCTGAGACTCTGACGTTGCGCCAGCGATTAGCTATTGCATACAAGGATTTCCGTCAATGGTGCAAGGTGAACAAAATTAAATGTGGGCAGCCCTTATTCAAAGAGACGTCAGTATCTTGCCATATTTTTCTGAATATTCCATAAGTTGAAATTGGCATTGGAAAACAATGTGAGCAGTGTCAAAAACCCTGGTTTATTGATTATGATTTTGCTTTGCGCGCGCCGTGACTTGCATATTGGGAATTATCATCATCCATTTTGGGAACCCCCAGTAACCAACCAATGTCAGGAATTTACATCAAGATGTTTGACACTACTTATAATGCATCCCTGAAATCATATCTGATCAGGTATGGTCACAAACTGGTGGTGCCTACATGAACGCCAAAGGGTACAACAACAGATGTATCTTGGGATGGCTTGCAGATTGCTTGGCCATTGTGGTGAAAAGCGATATCCCTGCAGATCGATTTGTTGGGGCTTGGATCCAATCCCAAGTGAATGCCAACAACATGACTTGGCCCATGCATGAAATGCTGGAACCGTCAGCTATCTGTTTGACATTTGGATTATGCAATATGACAAAGCTTTGCCAAATTCTTTCCATGGTATATCGATATCGACAAAAATTATGGTCCCAACTTTTACATTTTACCCTCATGCCTTTCCACCATCTTCCACCATTCCCAAGCTCAGGGATGCACTCAACCGGATGTTTTTGACAATGGAGTCATCTGGGAGATACCTGTGACTCGGTTTGGCCAATGGATATTGGATCACAAATCCAATGTGCATGTTTTGAAAATCGGATTTTTTTACTAGCGAACCCAAGGACCGAACAACAAGCAGATCTGATTTACTCCCATGGGATGATGTTCTTACGGACTCATCGGTTCCTGACATTTCTATCCCAGAGGCGGGGACCCACAGGTTTTGAGAATCAGGTAAAAATTGGTGGGTCTTTTACTGCCCTGCAGGCACAACCTGATGTTTTGGATATCTCGGCCGAAAATCCATGCAACTTGGCATCACAAAAATAAAATAAAGTAGATTGAATCCGTTGTACATCTAATTTTGTCCAAGCGCGTTTTTTTTGTGTGTTAACGTTTGTGCGTCCGTGCATGGATCTAAGATGGTGCACCACCAGCTTCGAGATTGCAAAGCGCGACGTTTCTTGGCAACACGACAGTGTTGATATAATTGGGGATTTTAATGGGGATGATTATGGTTATTAGATCATGGGAACCCTGGCGCTAAATAAAAAAATCAAAGAGACCCACAACAGGATTTTGATCGCTAGTGTGCATGAACATCATATCATATCATATCCAACAGCCCTGGGGCCCAGGGTACAACATCAGAATGGAGCACACCTTTATCGATGAGGATCAGATGAAGTGGTGTAAGCGCCACTTAGCTGATCATGATCACGTTGGAAACGTGTTTTTGTATCAAATGCATTGCCTTTTCCCATATTTTCCCCCATCACCCCAAATACCCATTTCCTGTCCGAGGACTTTGCCAGTTATCTGATAGACGCAATCTTGCCCAGTCCATTGCCAAAAAGGCACCCGTTAGATTGGTTGCAATGAAGTTTCACATCAACAAATTAAACAAGATCAACAAACGGAGGGAGATGAGATAGAAAAAACACCGGCCCGTTTGTCCGCTGGGTGGGCGCACATGTGCATGATCAGCACAATGGTGGATGTTCGGCCAACGATGGCCAATTGAGCGGCTCAGGCTGCAGCTGGGTTGGATGGATCCTTGGATCCTGGGAATTAATAATATAATAATATAATATATATATATATAACATATATATATATATATATATCAGCAGTCAATGATTGTCTTTAAGTAAAGTCATGGTTTTACTTGGACGACAAAGTTTAACTTTGTTCTTGGAAGCAGTGGGATTGGACCTTTTGCTTGGGCATTTCTTTTCGTGGGGGGAATTCTCTCACGAATTTGTTGCCAAGGCTGGCGATGGCTGGCCCAAAATGCAAGAAACCGAGCAGACCAGATGTTGTCGCTTTGCGGATTTGTACCGTACTCGCCTTTGGCTCTGCTGAGCTCCTTGAGAAGGCAAAGGAGAGAGATGTTGTCTCGAAGCGCTGATCCTCGAGCCCTTCTCATGGACACACCACTGCAAATACCACTTGTGACACCAAATGTCGAATCTCATGCCGTGCCCGGACCAATAGAGAAAGCTGCGAAGGTTCTGTTTGCGTTCTTCATTGCAATGGTCTTCATGGACGTCGGCTGGCATTTATTCAGCAAAGAGAGCTCGGGTCTACTCGATCTCGAACCGTTAGCTGGTCGTTTAGCTTCTTTATTACTTAATTTATTGTTCTGGGCCATGGGCTGGTCAAGTGTTGCAGTGGGACGTTTTGCATGGACTTGCTTCAGAAGTCAAATCAGGCATCGCTTTCCTTCATTTGTAAGACGCAATTCTGCCTACCGAAATGCACCGCATCCAGATGTTATCGTTCTTCTCCTGATGGTGGTCTTCATGGCAGGGAATAGGTTTTTTCGTACTTATATTGTCGTACCATATACTAACTCATATTGTGATCCCCGTTCGAACAGAATGGGAGGCCTTGTGCCCCCTTTCAAGGCCTTTCCAGGCTTAAATTAAGATGAAAAAATGGGGATGGGCCAGGCATTTCGCTGCGAAATATATTCTGATATATTCTGATCATATCTGCGAAATGAGCATTTCGCTCTTCAAGTGACACCGCCCGCGCCGCTCAGAAAATTGTAGCGAGCTTTGTTGCTTGAGCCACGGAGGAAAGATGACCCCAACTGAGGAACCAAGCCTTTGGGGCTCAGGTGGTGAGACCCGCACCAGCCAACTTTGAGTGGTTTTTGGGATGTTTTGACTTGTTCAATCAGGGGTTCTCCTGTTGCTCGGTTTAAGGCATTCATTCAACTGCTGGTTGACTATATTGCCTGGAAGTTGATTATGATTGGTGATGCTATATCTGGAACCTTGCCATTTTGCCAAATTTCCCTTGCCTTTCCGTAGTGGCGCTTTCTATAAAAGGTGGTGCGCCCGAATCATGTGGGTTGATGACATGCTGGGTTAATGGTGATTTAACAATCATTTATAGTACTGTAATCATTTATAATAAGATTGAATATCTGGTTGGTGGTTTGGAACAAGCCGTGGGCTCTACACCTACCAGCAGGTGCGGCCGTGCCCTGCTGATCGTAGAGCGTTTCGTTCACCGTGTTGTGCCATGGATCGTCATGGATCTTGCTGAAGTTGACGCTGGAGGTAGCTCTTTGATGTGGTCATGGTGGTCTTTGATCCTGTGCATGTGCGCCACTTGGTCCTCTGTCCGTGATGGGACTGGTCTGGTGCTTACTGGCCTCTTGGATGGAGCTCCTGAAGTGCTCACTCTGCTGGATGTTGTCCTGGTGCAGCAAGTCTCTATTCCGTTGCTGAAGGTGGATGATGGTACTAAGGTGTTGTTTCACTCACTGCATACCTGGGAGGACTTCTTCAAACTGGTCGATGCTTGCTGCGGGTTTGATGGTCCTACACATGGGGCCCATGCCGTTGGTGTGCAAACCATGGTTGCTGTTGACTCTAGTGCCCGTATGGTGACCTTACACAAGGTTCATGGAGGATGTGAGTATGTGATCGGTGATGCTGGCTGTCCCCAGGTGATCGCTGGAGTGTGGTCCACGTGTAATCATGCTGCGGTGAAGAGTGTGGGATTTTCATGTCAGCCGTTTTCCCAGTTTGGTGATCGGAAAGGAGGGGCAGACCCTTGTGCTATGTCCCTTCCGAACAACCTTAGAGCTGCACCGTCTCAGCGTGTTCATGGTTTGGTGCTTTCATGCGTTGTCCCTGCATGCAGAGATCCGTTCGTCTCACAACACCTTGATAGGTTTGTCGACTGGTCTGGATTTGTGAAGGAGAACATCACCCTTGAGCTCTCTGCTTTTGGTCAAGTACAACCGTTGATGCAGAACCAAACACAGATTGACGGGCAGTTTCTGGAGTTCACCCACCATCAGTCTCAACAAGTTTCGAATCTACAGGCCCTGATGCAGGCCCCGTCTCAACACTTTTACGGACAAAGTGAGACCCAGTATCAGTGCATCCAGGCTATGTTTGAGAATCAGCTTTCTCATATACGTGGCTTGTTGCGGAAGCGACTGAGAGATGATGGTGAATGTGGGGGTGGGCCTGAACTGCATGGCCCTCACAGTGGTATGATGATGATGGGGTCTTGTTGTGCCGTGTGGGTACTTGCTGCTCTGATGCCCTTCTACCAGTTTTTGGGGTTTGTGTCAACTGCCTTTTCCGTCGGGGCCTGCCACTGTGTCAGGTCTTGGTTGTTTACGCTGTTGATCTTTTTCAATGTTTGTTGGCTTGGAGAGACATCGTCTCCAGGTCCGGTTCAGGCTTTGCTGCCGTCTTGACCGTAGAGTCACCACAGTCAAAGCACTGTCTTCCCAACCCAAGACAGTGCGATACACAAAGCGGTACAAAAAAGTGGTGGTTTGGAACATGCATTTTATTTTTCCATATATTGGGATTATTCCAACTGACTTTCATCTTTTTCAATCTTTTTCACAGGGGTTGAAACCACCAACCAGATAGAGATATGATATACAGTACCTACCATGAACCCAACTTATGATTATATTGTTGTGAATGATGAATCAACTTAACTAACATTACTCGGGGCACCATCTTGTGTGATGTTGTTGTTTTTTCTGCGCCCATCACCTCGTTGCCCAGAATTGGGTGAATCCCCTATATTTTACTACTGGGGGGTTAAAACTATTATTTCAACCATAATTAGATTTTCCCAGAAATATGAAGTAAATGTAATCTTTAAATTACACCTAGAAACACTTTTAGGCCTCTTGTTGGGGGTTCCAGTTTAGCATGTGGGCTGTGTTCAACACAAGGTGCCCCCCCAGTTTTAAGTCAGTATCCCCGGTAGCTTTATATAAATATATCTACCATGAAGCAGAATTAACTAGGCCAACTTAGCTGCAGAAGTGCTTGGAGGAGTATCCCACAGATCGTATCTGGTTAGTAACCATAAAATGAGATAACCCCACAAAATGAAGACTTACCACTTACTAAGTGGGATGATGCTCTGGCATTGATCATGGTTATCCCCCACCCCGCAGGCCATCCTAACCATAGCAGCTGAGGACCACTCGCGGCCCTGCGGCGGCGGACACGGTGGAGAAAGTGTCGGGGGTGGTGAAAGCAGCCGCAGCAGCAGGACGGGATGGGGAGTGAAATGGTGAGGCTATAGAACTGGGGAAATCATTGGGTTGGCTTTCACCTTCGGCATTTTGCAGCTAGTCTTTACTTTCAGTTTTATTCTAGTCGAACTTTTAGATTGAGACCACTGTTACATGGAACATCTTCTCACTTGAGTCATTCATATGGGTCTAAATTTACCCAGCTTTGCAAGCCAAAAGCAGGTTCCAGGGTTCCGTTCCGATTTTCGGGGCCGACAACAAAAACCGCGCACCCACTCCAGACCTTGTCACTGCTGTTGGGAATTAGATGCCCGAACAATTGGGTGGTTAAAATTCAAAATGAACAGAATGTGCGATCCCCTAGGCCTTATAATTGTATGTATATAATGTGTATACGGACATGTGTATGTGTGTGCAGACGAAGATATGTAGATACAGATTTACCATGATTTGCCAGGGCCAAAGTGGGGATCATTGGGTTGTATGAAGCTACACTGGAGAGGAAACCCGTGATGATTTCTGTTTTCGCCATTAGCACATCGGATTTTCGGTATGTTTCCTGTGAATCTGCCCTTCATCCAATTCTGTACTATGGACTGTGTAAACCACAGGGTGGGTGGTAGGTTCCCCAGCAAACACGGAGTTTTTACGCCAACAAATGGGTGGATTACCATGCAAAACTTTGGAACTGCTTGGATAAAGCTAGGGCAAGTAGTAAGTTAATCTTCAATTTTTCGCATGTTGGGTGTAGGCACCCAGACATGGAATTTAAAGGGACCCGCAGTGATGGGAGATGGAAGTGAGACATTGCGGCATATAAATCAAATACATCACATAGTCAATTATATAACTCGTGTAAAAATCGCATATAAATCGCATATAAATCTGATAAATCGTATATAAAGCATATAAATTGTACGGGAGTTAATGTCATATATCTCCACTTTAATGCATTCTCATATGCGGAAGACCGCGCCAGAGAAATCTCAGGGTTTCTGTGGACGTGTACTTAGGCCAAAAAATTGGTTGACTGGCTGGTGGATAAACATGTCCCATTAAAAGTCAAGTATGTGTGGTATTGTAAGATCATAATCCTATAGTCTATAGTCGTAACATGGCCGCAGATTAATCCTATATTATTATGCTATGATTATGATATAGTATGATGGGCTATAATACCACACATATATTAATCCTATTGTAAGATCATAATCCTATAGCACCCATAGGATCCATGGTGCTGCTATATATATATATATGGTAGCATGGATCCCATCAATATACCTCAAATGTTAGCATATATACCAGCACCATGGATCCTATGGGGCATCATAATATATAATTATGATATGGCCGCAACATGGTTGTAACGATGTATATAACAATTATGAACAAGAATTTGTTATAAGTAATTGATTTAAATAACGGAATACATAACTTTTGCAACAAATAACTAACTATAGATACCAAAACAAATCGAATTGTAGAGGCTTGCTCTTTGCCGCGCCAGGAATGAGCGAGGAACAGCAAGCGTCGGTGGCAGCCACGGCAGTGGTGGCAGCATCGCCGGTGCGGAGCGGAACGGCAGAGGGGCTTGGTCTTGGGGTTTTATTCGAATCAAGATTTTAGGTTCGGATCTTATGGGATGTATGCAATAAGATGTAAGCATCTTGAAGCAGATGGAATATCACAATGATGATTTTTCTAAGTCATTCCCATCTTCCCAACAATTCCAGTATGGAGAGCCAAGGAGCTACTAAGAGTGGCCACACAGCTTGATAGTTTATGTATGTAGATATATCACGTATGATTCAGTGTGATGTAGTTATGGTGTTCAGGGATACGCGCATGATACCATGTCCATTTACCAACTATTGTGGCGTTCACCCGAGTAATTACATGGTTTTGACCAATCCCAATATATTAAAAACGTATTTATTATATTTTTTGCTGGTTTTTATGCCATGTCTATACCATAAAATCCAAATTTTTGATTGTCGAATCCAACTAATTTCCACTTTTGGATGCTTTAAATCCCACTAAATCCAAATTCTTGATGCTTAACTCCCATTAAATCATAGTTTTTTTTAAGGAAAAACATCGCAGCTACTTCCCGGGATGCTCCTCCAGTGGCCAGGCTGCGCAGGCTGCGGCTGGCTCGGCCGTCTCGGCCTCGGCCACGGTGCAGGACGAAGATCCGGTCCAGGGGATGGACCATCGCACGGATCGTTGGTTTCCAGCACTGGGGATACCCCCTAGAGCTCGCTGGATGGTTTACCCTTGGTTATTGAACGTAGCTATGAATGGAAGCCATGGCCCATAGAAATAGATGATTTATGAGGATTTACCTATTAATAGCATGGTGATTTCGCATAGCTACGTTAAACAACCAGATGGTATAATAGAAAATGCCATTAAAAGGGATGATGATTTAGGGGTACCCCAATTTCTGGAAATGAAACAAAACTGGGGAGATAACATGAGACAAATAGAGACAAATAGAAACACATAGCAACTGGATGTAACATGATGTAACTGGATGTAACTGGTTAGTATCCAAAGTTCTTGACCCATTTATGTTTAAGATCACCCGCGAAATGGGACTTACTGATCAGGGTGATTAAGCAGTTAATGGGATGATCCTCCAAGCGGAGGTCGGAAGCTTGTGGTGGGTTTGATGAAAAGTTCATCCAGATTACAGATGATTGGCTGATTTTCATGGATAAAACTGAGGAGTTTTAGTAGATTTTAGTGGGTTTGGTGGATTTTCGTTGGTTTTAGATCTCTTAGATCTCGTAGACCTCTTAGATCAGTGCATTGAAAATTGTAGAGCAACCCCTAAAAAGATAGAGAACTCAACTCCAATTCAAATATGGAGTAGTAAATCACTAGAAGATACTACTTGGATGTGCATCCCATTTAGTAACTGGTCTATAACCCCTATATAATTGGATATATCCCATGTATAGCTGCGGTATAATATGGTTATAACCCACTTACCTAGCTGGGAGGCACCCCCAAGCAGCTGTATTTTGTTTGGTAACTTAATATCAATGACCATTTCAGGTATCTAAAATGGAGGTACATACCATACATAAGGCCTATGTAAGGGCCATGGCAATGGAATATGGTTTTATATGGTGCATCTCTTCTTGAGTGGCTCCTGAAATTCCCATTGACTACCCTCTGGCAAACTAACATGGCTATTGAAAATGGATGAAACTTGCCCATCTATAATGGATTTATGTTGATTTCCCTACTAAAAATGGTGATTTTCCAGTTCGCAACTCTTGGCTCTACGCTCCTTCACCCCGGCAGCATATCTCGAGGCTCAAGCCGAACGCTCCGAGCGGTACCTCCACAAAGCTCCACTTTCCCTCGCCATGGGCAGCGGAATCTCCGGGATCTCGACCGAACAGACCACGGGACGCACCAAGTGCCGCGGCCAAGAATGCGGTGGAGCAGGATCCCGAGGATCTCTCTTGTGGGCATTCTACAAGGTGGTGCCCCCCCAGTTATAAGTTGGTTTATAATCCCCATTAACTATAGATATAACCCCCATAAACCCTAGTTATCGGACTTATAAACCAAGTTAGCTAACTATGGGGCACCACCTTGTAGAACTTATACCATCTGGTTATGACTAACAGTTCGCCATGGTATAGATGGCCCATAGAAATAGATGGTTTGCCGAACTTAAAAATGGTGATTTTCCATGGCTATGTTAAATAACCAGAGGGTAAGTGGGTATTCTACAACTATAATAGTCATAGATTAGCAATTTTCATTTAAAAAGCAGGATCTTTTTTTTGTTTATAATCCAATTCCCCTAATATTGAACACCCCCTAAATGGATCTAGATGGTCCCCCAAATAGACGTAAATCCCCCAGTAGCCAGTAAAGTTTTTTTTTTGGGGGGGGGTGGGTATTCTGTAACTGGGTCAAACAACTAGAAAACCTGTAGATTAGCAATTGGATTCTGAGAATTGTCCTAAAAACTAGGCACATCTAAAGGCACCTATCAATTGGCCCGCTGTAGATTGATGGAAGATGCCTACACGAAACACGACAGGACATCATCATCTGGTTGGTGGTTTGGAAAACTTGTTTTTTCTCCATTCAGTTGGGCATTTCATAATCCCAACTGACGAACTTATATTTTTAAGAGGGGTAGGTATACCACCAACCAGTTATTGTTGTCACTTTCATGACATATCTAGGAATCTAGGTCAACCATGGTCCCGGATGATTTGTTTGGCGATATTCGCGGCTAATTTGTTCACTTGCCACGTGGTGCCAGCCTTTAACATCCATAGAACATCACATCAACCTCACAGTCATTGGGTTGGCTTGAGGGAAACTTTAACAGGAACCCCCCCATGATCTTCATGGGAAATACCGTGGTTTCCGGTATAGATTTTCCCATAAAAACCATGGGAAATACCATGGTTTCCTCTATATTCCATGGGAAATACCATGGTTTCCTGTAGATTTTCCCATAAAATCCATAGGAAATACCATGGTTTCCTCACTGTTTCCTCACTGTTTCCATGGGAAAAACCCATCCCTTGACACCGATGTTGATGCCGTAAGGCGCAGCTGCGAGTTGGAGAGCGGTTCCGGCGCCGCGACCGCGTTTCGCAGCCAGACGGAGGAAGAAGAGCTGACCATGCGGCCGATGACTCTTGGTTGCCGTAGAAAAGCATGGTATAAATTATATGGAATATAGACTTATAGAAGATTATATATAGAACTTCCAGATGGAACATAGAATTTCCATCACCTATAGGAACATAGAATTTCCAGATGGTTGCCATAGAAGAAACATGTTGAAGGAATTTCAGAATGATTTACGTGTGTTGTTTTCCGGATTGAATGGCACTTGAAGGGATTATCCGATGAGTCTTTGGATGAGATCGCTGGACAGGTCCAAAACATGATCCTTATCCCAGAAGGATTGACAATCTTGAGAATAATTTTCATTGGGATTGATGATGATTGGATATATACATCTGACAGAGGGATACATATATATATATATATATATTATAGTTAAGCGGTAGTATTTGCTGTCGGTATATATATATATATATCGATATATATATATATAGATATTCAAAAATTCTACCAATCTGGATCTTCTTTGGGCGCAAGGATTGGAAGCGCTTTGGAGGATGCGTGGTGGACCTCAGGAGGCGTGGGTCCTGGGCTTGGGTGAATCTCGTGTGATTCCAGTGGTTTCGAAGTAAAGGGGGTAAAAGGGAATGGTTTATATGGTTTTTGCCATCTATAAAAACAATGCAATTTTTACCATGCATGACTGGGAATAGCTGGTATAGTTGCTCAACTTTGGTTAGGGAATGGTTTATGGTTTATGCTATCTATGGTATAAGTGGCTGAATTCTATGGTTTATGGTAGGTGTAAAACGATAGTTCATAGGGTTTATAAACCAATCTATAAACGGACTTATGTTGTTAAAACAATGCCATGTTTACCGTAACCATCCATGACTGGGAATGGGATTTTCACACAACCTTTTTGAAAATGGTGATTGTTCTGGGGGATGGTAAACATGGCAGCCAGTTTTACCCACATTAGTATACTAATCATGAGATGAGAGTAGAATACAATACGCTGAGATTGTGTGAATTTGTGAATCTCGAATGGTCAAAATGATGATCACAATATAAGCTTATATATATATATACACATGTGTAGAGAGAGGGCTCAGAACTACTTCGACTCCATGGAGGTCCCTCAACCACCCAAGTGGGTGGCCTTATTTGTGACGGTGCAGCCACATTGCTCCCAAAATAGATGCCCTCTATGAGAGATGGCAATACAAAAACCACCATTTTATAAGTTCCCCATTTTGTACATCTTAAAACCTCGCTGATAAGGGATTCTCCATTGCCCTGTTTGAAGGGCCCGGAAGGTGTCCGAAATCCACCTAGGATTGTCAATGAGTGGTGCCCCAGTTTTGCAGGAAATTGCCTGTTGGTTTGTAAACCCCATTGATTAATGTCAACTAGTAACTATATATAATATACTGCATATATATATATATATATATGCACATACATATGTAGAATAAGTCCAAATAAATCCAACACTTTCATAACTTAAGAATAACTCTCAGCACTTGGAAGCCCCCCCAGCGGCTGTGGGACGGACACCTGGGATGGGATGCGGGGTAGGCATCACTTCCACACAGTTTGTCGGCGGTCCGATTTTCTACCAGCCATCCTTTGGTAGCCGCTGGGCATTGGGTGAGCCCCGGGATTAGTGGACTTAACATACTTAACATCCTTTTTTTTTACGCCTAGGGTGAATTTTCAGGGAATCTCACCTGAAATATATGGTTTTATTAACTTTATAATGTTTTATATGGATTTATCTGGTACAGTATCTCCAGTTTGGGTACCTGAAATAGCCATTGATGGCTGGACATGCAGTGTGGCTTCGGGCTGGTCGATATCGACCTCACGTCGAGATGTCGCTGGAATGATGTGAATTGTCGTGGGGGGAAATCACGGAATCAGAACCAGTGGCCGAGCCCCTTCAGAACCAGTGAAATTACTTAACTGCTGGGTGGTTTGGAACCATGGAATTTTATGACTTTCCATATTAATTGAGAATGTCATCATCCCAACTGACGAACTCATATTTTTCAGATGGGTAGGTATACCACCAACCAGATAACTTTATCCAGGTATATGCTGGGTAAATCTTGGTAGTTTAATTGCGGTTTTTCTTCCGGGTTGCTTGGGGATGCTTGAGGTATATAAACCATTCTGCTGCGATGTTTTTTTTTTTGCCGGGCAGCTAAGGTTGGCAATGTATTTGATACATGCTAGAACTAGACCCTCTCAGAAACTTGAAACCGATCCCCTCAAACAACATCATATGAAGTAATGTGGTACACCGGTAAACCCATCAATAACCCATCCCAAATTAGGGTTTATCACCTTAGACCGGCTGGAAATGAAGCCTATTTATTTTCCCCCAGGGCTGAGACTCCACTTGAAGCGGTGCTCAACTTGATCCGGACGATTCTCCAGACAGAGCCACATCCCCCACATACCCTCTGGTAATTTAACATAGCTATGGAAAATCACCATTTTTAATGGGAAAACTCACTATAAATGCATATTTTCAATAGCTACGTAACAAATTACCAGAGGGTATCCCACATCATCAACTAAGGTTACAGCAACTCAAGGACAGGAATTGAGCGGACAAGCCTGGCCGCCAGGTCCGACAGGTCGAAGTGATGTGTTTTTTTACACACCTGGCAGCTCCCTTCAACGGTAAGTGTTGTTGCGGAGCGGCAGGTCGATTTTGGGTCGATGCTTTTGCGTTCGGAGCCTGTTCATGAACTGAAATAGGTCGTTGTTGTGAAACGGGTTGTTCAAACAACCAGAAGACCCGAATGAGTTGGTGCTATTGATTCTCACTATAGGCATCTTTTGGAAGCGCATGTTTTTTTGAAATATATGATTTTTTGGGAGTTCCAAAGGCAGAAACATCCTTGGCCGCTGCGACGGCGCAAAGTTGTACAGTTTGGACTTCTTTCCTTTTACGCGTGGCCGATTTCCAGTTTGGGCTGGAAAATCTTCGGAGTTTTGTGGCAAAACGATCCCCGAATTGGCGTGGAGGGCCGTTTTGGTTTCTTCAATCCATGGATGGCAGATTGACCCTGATGGCTGTGGCGAAAAACAGGTCAGAAAAACCTAGGTCAATATTGGATGGGTAGAAACTAGTCCTTTAGTCTTTTGGTATCAATGGGATTATCTACTAACCAGCTGAGATTTTTTTTTTTGCCGGGATCTAAGATTGGCATAGATTGGCCATGAAGCCTGGTAGCAATGGCGAATAGCCCCCACATAGCACCACAACAAGTGAAGCAGACCATGTTGGAATGTTCGCTCCCACCCTGCCACTCACATGCTGGGAAGAGTCATGGTAAACCGCTCTGCTAAGTCCATGTGGTCCAGAATTCTCCCATTTTTTGTTTCACGAAGTGCTGCAAGGATCTGCAAGGGTCATTAAATGTCCCCATTGAACATCACCCAACCATTAGGTATATGGTCTATAATGGCTACTATAAGGTGATGTCCAATATTCCCAAAATGGGACAGTTACCAACCCCTGATCTGCAAGGGTTCCTGAAGCGTGTTTCTTTTCGCCCGTTTGATGTTTTTGTGTCCTGCTACGTATTTCTTGACTTGCTGCCAAGGAGTTCTTAGCCGTCTTAGATTAAGAACATGATGATCACCATAGATGCCCTTTTCTCACTGGTGGCTTGAAGAAGAGAATCCCTGAAATGGAGCCTCGAAATATCTGATAAACTAACATAACTATGGAAAATCCATATTTTATCCAATTTTTATTAAGTAAATCGTGGTAAATCAACCATAAATTGCAATTTTCAATAGCTCTGTTAGTTTACCGGGTATGGTCTGCAGTGGTGACCGGACCTGGAATTTCGTGGCATCTATCATCCATGGACTTTGCTGGCAAAGTTTGAACCTGGTTTTGTTGCGCCGCTCTATGCGTCCTGTTCCCACTGGGAGGGCGCAGGTGCTATGTAAAGAACACCTCGGCCCACGAGGGGTTGAGAGTGAAACAGACTTAAGCGCAGGATTGCTGAAAATGAAGGGCACTTGAATGTATATCGTGTGTGTCCCAGTTGAGTGGAAAATGATCCATATAAGAAGATTGTTAGAAGTTGGATTATCAGTCACACCATGGTTACTGACCATTTATGAACTGGCCGAAACAAATTGAAGTGCAGAGTTGGAAGATAATGGATGTTCATCTCAAGTTTCGTTCGGACGCACATTTCGAATGGATTCGAAGCCTTAGCCTCACCATCATGAGGCTGGAGAATGCTGTTTAATCATTCTGAATGCCGATGTTCAGACAAACCAGTCCAAGGCGGTGCCCCGGAATCGCCAAGTTGGGGTTCACATAACTCAGCACAGCTAGGTAGATTTGGATCTAACTAGTGAATCCAGTGAAACCAGACCCATTTTTCAGCGCAACCGGAGGGTACAAGGCCTTGTGCCAAAGAAATTTTCTACACTGTCCACTCCGAATATCGATGAATATCCCTAAATTTGTCATTGATCATCATTTGTAGAAGTTTTATGGCACGAACTTCAAAAACGACCCATTTTTGGTGGCTACCTCTGGTAATCAAACATGGCAATGACAATTTTCCATCATTTATTGATATTCATTTCATACTTGATTTTCTCATTAACACCTTAACAGTGGATTTTCATTTATGTTTGATGACACCGGAGGCTATATCGGCTATACCCCACGAGAAAACCATGGGATAATTGCCGTCTGCGAAGGAGCCGGGCCTCACGAAGCTCGTCGAGGCGGTTTTCCCATACCATCCACTAGCTATTTGTATGGCATTGTATGACTATGAAACGCATAGCAACCCGCAAAGATTGAACATGTATTATATATATATATATGCATGTAACATGTATATTAAGAGAATGTTGTACATGTTTAGTTACCCTACATCTTTCTCGATCATCTCGTTTCAGGGTGCCCTTTATTTAAATCAAGATTCGCCATGACGTACCCAAGATCTGTCATGAAAACCATGGTTGCACATCCATTTAAACATTCAACACATCATTTAGGGACAAATCATGTCACAATGATTAAAACTTCAATGATCTCCCCAATTGGATTTTTTTTTAAAACATAAGATAAGGGCGTTGGAACAAGCGCGTCCCCCTGCAGGCAGCCAAGGGTCTAGGGTTGAGCACGGAACAGCCGCCTGGGCTGCACTGGGGATCACCGAGGAGATTCTTTTGGGAACATTCAACCCAAAATAGCAACACTGGGGATTTCGCCATGAATGTGATGGATTGGGCCATGAACTAACCAGCCATCGTTGTGAAATTTTGGGATGCTAACAGCAAACACGATGAGATGATCAGATAGGGGACATTTGGCGCAAAAAAACCCCGAGGAATTCACCATCGGTAGGGGTGAATCCATCAGAAGGGGTGAGGCGGCTGGTAATCTGTGGCCTTAAATCCCATTCCCATCATTGATACCCTCTGGTAACTTAACATAGCTATGGAAAATGTCCATAGAAATAGTTGATTTACCCATTAGAAAGGGGGGTTTTCCAAAGTTATGTAAACCTTTAGTTTACCAGAAATTAGGTTATATTCCCGTGATATTCCTTCATGTTGGTAGCTTGGGCCGGGGATATTCCATATGTAACAGGGCACGCCCCAAGTAGCGACCAAGAAGACTATCAGCGAGAAACTACTTTCTTTGCCAATCTGAGATCCAGCCTACCATAAAAAGTTAAGCCCCCATGGATGGTGATGCAGTGATTTCACCAAGCAGTTCAAGTTGAAAAGAATCAGGAAGTCTTCGAATGCAGCGTGTTGTGAAAATTCCAGTTGGTGTGCCAATGATGTGGCAATCGTTGGACATAGTCTTGCTAAGCCAGATACCTTTGGTCCATTGTGGCAAACCTTTCAAACTGGTTTTCAAATATCCAAAAACTGTTTCACCGTACAGCGCAACCTTTCCAGAATAGAACCTTCCAGTCGTCCTCTCATAGCTTGTCATGGCACGTTTCACCGGAAAATGATTGTGCAACCAAGCGCTGTGAATGAGTGCCCATGCATAGACTGGGTGCATGCATCCAAAAATGGGGCCCTTGCAACCAGTAGCTTCTTCGATCTGAGAGACAAGCAAGTTGGCCTTTGACCTCAAAACGCCAACCATCGATTCTGCAGCTCCATTGGCCTGATGGTCGCCTGTAGGTGCAGGTTCTGCATGTACAACAATGTTCAAACCCATGCAAACTCGTTTGACAGCTTCAAGAAGAGCTAGAGTGCTGGGCTCTCCATCACAACTTAAACCAACTTCAGAGTGACCACAATGCACAATGAATCGACACATCTCTGTAACCAGGTAGCTAAGGCTTTTGCCACCTTTCTGCAGTGTTGGAAGTGCCAAACAAAGTCCAGTGTCACGGTCACTGAGCACCAAAACTGTCAACTTGTCGGTTTCATCTTTCATTCGACTGCCAAAGAAGAAATCAAATGATATCACACTGTGGCTTGCAGCTTCATGAGTCTGTGGTCTATGGCCATCTTGTTTTGCTCGATGGGCAACACACAAAGAGCACCATGTCTCATATGGTTCATGTGTCAAGTTGTGAGCATCTCGAACTGCTGCTGAGGGTTCCACAGGTTTGTGCTGTGGCACTGCATGACGTTCCACATCCTGTTTTAGTTTGGCCTCAACAGCCTGTGCTTCCATGAGCTCACGTGTTTTCACAAACTCAATCATGCGTTTCATGCAATTTTTCTTTGAACTACGTTTTGAATGTCCAAGTGACGTGCAGCCAGCCCTGAGACCACGCAAAGGAGTGTCATGAGCGTAGGTGATGCCATCAATTGTGATTGTAGATTCATCAAAGTATGGAATCACACGATCTTCATCCAAAGGTTCAGCCTCAGGAACATCGGCTGGGGTTTCCTCAACAGGCTGTGCTTGCTGTGGCTCTTCTGAATCATCCACATCAATGTCATCATCAAAAATTGGTCGGCTGTCATCCTCAGTGATCCTGAAACCAAGCTCTTCACTGGGGACGCTGTGAACATGCGCAAGTGTCAAAACTTCGACAACGCTTTCAGGATCATAAATGTCACCTTCCATGTCATCCATGTCACTAACAGGCTCTGAAAACTCTAAAAATTCCCATCCTTGACCATTTCTGAAAACAAGCGTTGTTCTCAACCACATCATCTCTTCTGCTGGGCACAGTGTTGTGTCAACAAACTTGGCTCTGCGCGTGGTCAGTGCATAGACCTGCGGGTTTATCCTGTTCCACCCTGGCAGCAACCTACGCAAAACTCGTTCAAGATGAATTGCACGTACAGCAGAAACTGATGGTGTCGAGCTTTTGGGACTGAGTACATCATCTTCTGAAATCATTCGAATGCAACCTTGAACACACAGTGAATTGCGTTTGAAGTGCGCATTGACAAACCTGTCACGTTTCACCAAACAAATGCCAGAATCTGTGTGCTGAAGCTCCCAACCAGCTCGAATGATGTGGCCCAATGCTAAGAGCGGGCAACTGATGTTGGCGATGATGAAACGCTCACGCAAAGCAACGCCGTTTCCTAGATCAACTGTGGCAAGTCTGGTGTCTCTGATATCCAATTTGCCACCTTGAGCATCGATGTAGTCTTGTGCAACAGTTTCATGACTGCATGATTCACCAACATTTGAGTAAGCTAGGGGCAGTGCACTGGTGTCGGCACCTGAATCAAGAATGATGTCAGTCTGGGTTGAACCTGTCATGGTCATCATGCGCACGTGGTGAAAGTGATTGGGCTCTTTGTAGCCAGGTTCACATGTCCAGTTTGCATCATCATCAGTGCATGCCATGTCAAACAACTTGGGTTCAAACGGTTGAATTGCACGAACTAAGCCTGAATTGGAGCCATTGTTGCTGAACTCTGTGAGATCCTCGATGATCACGGCTGAATCACTGAAGGCAACACGATTCACATTGCCTGTTGTGGACCTGGAAGAAGTTGCACTTGGAGATTGCTGAGCTGTACCAGTGCTGCTGGGGCTCGATGCAACACGCTGTGAGTGGTTGTCATCACCTTCAAGCTGCCTAACAACACCAGAAGCTTTGTCAGCTTGAAACTTTCTGCAATTTTTCTTCCAATGACCAAATGCACCGCAATAGTTGCAACGGTTGACATCAGTCGGTTTTGCCTGTGTCTTGCCAACTCCTTTGGAGTGTGAGCCATAACCTTTGCCACTCTGCTGTGATTTGCCTTTGCCTTTGGCGTCTTTCGATTTGCCCTTGTGTTTGCCTTTGCCTTTCTGTGGCGATTTTCCCTTTTGGCCTTTGCCTTTTGATTTGCCTTGTGAAACCTGGTTGATTTCCATTGGCGCTGAGCCTCCAGAGTCAGTGTTGTAGGAGGTGACTGCGCCAAGCTCTGAGTAGACCTTCTTTTTGCCCCATGTTGTGCTCAGTCTTTCAAACGCTACGACCATCTCCTTGATCTCCGCAAACGTTGAAGTCTCTGTCATGTTCAACTGCACATGTTGTTGCAGCTGTCGTGGCAAACATTTGACCAACGTTGTAAGAAGTATGTCATCAGCTACTTCAGCACCACTGCTTTTGCGGTATTCATCGGCTATGCGTTCCAGTCCTTGCACTTGTTCCAGCAACGTTTTCTCACGTGTGAAAGCTGGATGAGTCATGAGAGCACTGAGGATTCCCAGGGCTCTGCTTTTCGTCTTAGGTGTGTACAAGCTGCATAATTGCCTCCACACCTCCATGCCATTGCTGCTGGGCACTTGCTTCAACAGCTTCAAAGGTCGTTGTTGCAAAAGACCTGAAAGGATCGCATACAGCTTCTTTGAACGCGCTTCAGATGCAACACCTTCAGCACTTGCAGTGTATGATACAGGAACATTCAAGTGATCCTCAATATGTTTGAGGTCTGTTTCAAATCCAGGTTCAGCGTAAGCCAGCCATTGCTTGAAAAAGAAAGCAAAGTCAAGCCAGTTCGATTGATCTTCAGCTGAGTTTGCACTACCAAAGCTTGTAGGACACTTCACAACCTTGCTAGCTTCTGAAAAACCACCTTTCTGCGCTCTTGCTTGCTCGTTGGACTCCTTCAGCGCTAATGCTGCTTGAGCAGCTGCATCAGCGGCACGTGTGACTGCCTCCAGGATCTGTGAAGCTTGGGCACCAGACATCGCTACGTTAGCAAGATCTTCTTTTGGATTTGGTACGTTGCAAAAGAAGACGTGGCCGAAAGGCAGCCTGTGGGTGCACATTGGTGGCACCGATTGCACGTGGAAGAAAATCAAACATAAGATTCCACCGAGCAGTATGAAAGAAAGGCCAGATCCACAAAGATCTCATGGCGTATGCGCGGCAGTTGCAGTGGCGCTCAAGGCACAGCAGTGATGACTGCCAAGTAACTCTGAAAGCAAGTGAACATGTGAGAGTACAAAATGAAGTTGACCGACAAAGGGCTCCAAATCTTTGGTAATAAAACGCGGTTTTCCAAAAAACAAATCATGAGTTTAAACAATTTTATCAGCCTTTCAAAAGGCAATTTTTGCTGAAAGGCGCAAGGGATTGTGACCTTCAATGGTCAAAATACCGTCCTGTAAAACCACCCGCACGGAAATTTATGCTGGGTTTGGCTGGGTGTCCCAAAATCTTGGCACAGGTCGAATGGCACAAAAACAACAAGCCAAAAACAACAAACAAAAAACATCCAAACGCAACAATGTTATATTTCGCATTTCGCCGGCATTGTTGAGCCACTTGATAATAGATGAATCGACATGATGTCAAACGATGTAAAAACAGTCCAATTTGATTGATTTAATAATGTTAACTGTTGATTTTGATGGGAACAGACGCGAAAAGAAAGTGAGTGGCAGAAAAGGACATTGGTATTTTTGGCCAAATCAAGTGTTGTTTGATGTTGTTTGGATATGTTTGCAGGATTATTGTGGGACTGTATGAACATATGTGAATATGAACGCTTGTCGCTGCACATGAGAGTGTGTGCGATTTTTTTTCCATTTCCAGAAGGGGATTAAATTAAATCCGCCCACACCGCTTTGGCGGTGAAGGCGTGCTTATTGGGGGGCAAAACAGCAACACTAAATGCTCAATGACATTTGTTAATATAGCAGTCGCTATATCAGCTTTAGCTGGGGGGGGGGGCAAAAACGGTTTCGCACCGAGACCAGAATACGGTGGTGTTTTCGACATTTTTCGAGGATTTTTGGGTGTCTGAGCGCAAGAGGGTATTGAAATGGAATTTTGGGTCATTTTGGTAGCTTTCCGGCAATGGAAAAACGGCCAAAAATGAAAAAAACATTGTACATAGCAAGATTTTGCAGGTTTTTGGATGCCAGAGCATTGAAAACACTGCAAAAACAAGTGTTTTGGACTGACGTTATAGCAAAAAATGTGTAAATTACCGTATGCTTGACTGGAAACATTACAAAAACACTGTCAAAAGCAATGTTTTGGAAGGATTTACTGCCTTTATGGCAAAAAACGTGTAAATTACCGTCTGTTTGACTGGAAACATTGGAAAAACACTGTCAAAAACAATGTTTTGGAAGGATTTCTTATATATATGTTGGAGTTGGCTACCGGCATTGGAACATGGAAAAATTGAAGAAAACACTGTAAATAGCGGTATTTTCAACGGTTGGGGAGATAAGGGAATTGGAAGCATTGTCGAACATGATGTTTTCGACCGGTTTTATGGCGACAAAAGTGTAAAGTACCGTGCTTTGAAGGAAACCATTGCAAAAACATGGAAACACATTCAAAGAACACGGGATTTGGGGGACTATCTAGGCGTCGTTGTCTAGCTATTTGAGATTCCGCAGCTTGGAGAGCCTCCAAGGGAGGGAAAAGTGAAAATTCCATAGCTTGGGAAGCTGTCACGGCGGGGAAAAGTGAAAATTCCCTAGCTTGGGAAGCCCCCACGGAGGGGAAAAGTGAAAATTCCCTAGGAAAAGTGAAAATTCCCTAGCTTGCGGAGCCCCCAAGCTTGGGGAGCCCCCACGGGGGGGAAAAGTGAAAATTCCCTAGCTTGGGGAGCCCCCACGGGGGGGAAAGTTAAAATTCTTAGCTTGGGGAGCCCCCACGGGGGAAAACCACTTTTAGCCATTCTCACGGACCGAAATAAA